CTGGAAGCCCAGATTGCCACGGGGGGCATCATCGATCCTGTGCACAGTCACCGCCTCCCCGTGGAAGTAGCGTACAAGCGGGGCTACTTTGATGAGGAAATGAACCGGATCCTCTCTGATCCCACAGACGACACCAAGGGCTTCTTTGACCCAAACACACACGAAAACCTCACTTACCTGCAGCTTCTGCAGCGGTGCCTGCCCGATCCAGAGACTGGTTTGCTGCTGCTCCACGTCATGGACAAGGGCTGGTCCTCCTCTTACCTCAACGAGAACACCAGGAAGGCTTTGCAGGCGGCCAAGACCAAGATCGGCGTGGGGCTCTTCCAGGACCAAGAGGTTTCTGTGTGGGACCTCCTCTTCTCCAGATACATCCTTCCGTCCAAGAGGCAGGACTTGCTGAGGCAGCACAAAGCAGGCACCATGACACTTGAGCGCCTCACCCAGGTCCTCATCGCCATCGTCACTGAGGCAGAGGAAAAGATCGCCAGGCCCATCGGTCACAGAGAAGCTCCCAGCCAATCAGACACGACAGCAAATGCTGCCACGGATGAACCAAGCCTCAGAGAGCCCTGGATGAAGACCCTCGAGGCCACGACCGTGGATATGCCTGCAGGCAACTGCCAAGGGCAGAGGGTCACTCTGCGGGACCTGCTCTTCTCAAACAACATCCCTGAGGAAAAGAGGACAGAGTTACTGGACTTGTACAAAAGTGGGCTCCTGTCAACGGAGCGGCTCAGCAGCATCCTCCACACACTGGTTGCCAAAACGGAAGCCACCGGCAGGAAGATCAATGTGAAGGTGAGGAGTCCAGATCAACAGGCGGTGGCGGTGGCGGCGGCGGCGGCAGAACACCAGGCTCTGAGGGATTCTTCCTTAGACCCGGCAAACTGGGAAAGCGCCCTGCGCTCTCAGCTCCTCCCAGCACCTTCCGCTGACCAACAGTCCTCCGCTTGGGACATCCTGTTCTCCGAGCGCTTCGCAGAGCATGAACGGGAAGAGCTTCTGGGCAGATACAGGAGGGGCAGCCTCCCCCTTAAGGAGCTCACAAAGATTCTCTCAGACCGCCTTCCCAGGACCACAAGCAGCAAACGTCATCTTCCCATGGACTTCCACGCACCCAGTTCAAGCACCGAGGCCAAAGAGGCCAAAGAAGAGGGGGGAAATGATGCTGGCGACCTGGGAGGCAAAGAGGAGGCTCTGAAGTCCCGGATGGTGGAGGTCACCGCTGCGGCGTTTGACGGGCGTAAAGTGTCGGTGTGGGACGTGCTTCATTCCAAGTATATCCCTGAGGAGAAAAGGAAGGAGCTTCTACAACTGTACCAATCGGGCATCCTCACCATTGACCAGATGGAGACCGTGGTCTCCGCCATTGTCAATAA